TGAACGTGGCGACGAAGACAACGCTACGGAACGTGAGGAGAGGGGATCCGATTGCGATCATCTATATTCCCAGTGCAACCCTCGCGCGGTATGGGGCTGGAGTCGCGGCTATTGGGACTTTCATGGTCTTTGACGTGATCCCGTTCTATGAGGTCAAGTCCATTTGGATTGGCAAAAGCAACGGAGGGAAACGCCTGGAGTACGTTGATGTCAAGAGAGCGTACTCGAAGTGTGTGGAGAACGAGATCTGCCCTGGCTTCGTCAACTCATCCCAAGAGTCGGCTGCGATGTTCCTCCAGAACGTCACAAAGATCAGCGAGAGGATGCCCGAGACCGAGACAGGCGCCGATAATCTGCACTACATCAGGGACATGGTTGATCGTGCATGCGAACTCTATCGGAACAACAAGATGGAGGAGTTCAACGCGCAGGTCAACGAGGTCAGGGACGAAATCAGCAAAGTCGTCATCCTGAATGATGAGACATGGGAAGGACTGAGGTGCCGGATATGTCCATCATGTGCGACCGCGATCCCCACCTGCTTCTGCTTATGCCTGGAATGCGAAGCACAACTGATCTCCATCGGGAGATACTACATTCACATCAAATCCGATGACGAGGAGGACAATCAAAACCCCAACGTCTCTGGAGATGCCAGGCGTGCACAGGAAGAAGCTAACCACGATGCGGCAGCACAGGAGGATGAAGACGAAGCGGAGGAAGTTCCGGGAGAAGATGACGACATGGACACGCAAGGATATACATCCGGCTATGCGTCAGAAGAAGAAGACAGCGGTTGGCATTACCGCGACACCGATCTGGCGTCACGGGACATTATAAGTTCCCAACGGATGGCGATCTGCCTTGACGAGCCGCGTGAGGCTCAGTACATGGCAGGATTTATCGCACTCCAGATGTCCAAGATGTGGGGGATGTTCGAGGGTGGTGAGGAGAGAACGATGAATGCCAAGCTCGAGGGGAGAGAGGGCTGCCCTTACCACAATGATTTCAAGAGGTACCCCAACATCACTGAGCACGATCAGGAAGGTATACTATTGCCATCAACAACAACGAAGATTTCTCAGTCGGAGAATGTTCGGACAAGAGCCTTCCGATCGGTTGAGGAGCGTGACGAATATATTCGTATGATGGTGAACAAATGCGAGGGACTTTACACATTCTACAAGCTGTGGATTGCAGCGAGAATCCTCGATGTCACCAAGGAAGAAATGAAGCTCCTGGTCAAGGACCGAGTGCACCCGGTGGGTGATATTATTTTCAGATGTTTTGCACTAGCTTTCAACTGTAAGTATATATCATTCGTGAGGGATGGCCTAAACCTTGGCAAGAATGGTTACACGGTCAACGTGAGCGCCATCATCTCGGCCATCGACCCGAACAAATGCGACACACCCCTGCTGGATTGGTGCCTTCGGAAAGGGCACTGGTTGCCAGAGGACTACAACAAGAAGTGTGTCCGGGCACGAGAAGCCCAGAAGAACTTGGACGAGGAGTTCCGTCGACGCACTCACAGACTGTCCATTGGGGACCGGTATGCGTAGTGAAGATGCTGATTGCGGCACGATGTGGGTTAGTCCCCATCTGTAGCTTGCGTCTCATCAACACCATTGCGACGGAACGACTCTACATTATGATATGATTTCATATATCCAAGTTGAATGGATGTGTACATGGTTACATATTCCGACGACTATGACGCTCTGGATATTCATGGATGGGACTATTACCTTATAGATGACATCTTTTTCATTATTTATACATTGTCCATGGTATCTGGAATGGCTATGATTTGCATTGATTACTCACCGATGTTTCTTTGCCGGAGATATGCAGACCGATCACAAGCGGGCGCGTCTGGTGGACTTTTGTGGCCAACCCATTTATGGATGACAGCTGCGCGATGCGCAAATGCGGCAGCTGGAATGTTCACTGGCGGTCAAGTGAAGTGGCCACAGTGTATTATATACACCTGCATATGGATGTGTGCTTCGATTGGAGGATGAATGTTTCACTTTTCGTACAATCGAACCCGGCATGTTTCACAGCGAATGAACGGTGTAGTGATAGCAAGTAAAAGAATGCACGACACGATTTCGTAGTTGAAGCCGTGGCCAGTGGAACGTTTTGTGGTGTTTGGACCGCATGATGAACAATGCGACCCAAATGGGGGATGTTAAAACCCTCTAGGCCCCGTGCCGAAATTGGGTAGCTGTTCTGAGGTCCTTGTTGGTGTTGCTTCCCAAGTTCCATTGATCGCCATTTGGCTCAAGACACAATTGAGGTTCAAGATCTGATGTGTGACTGCATACCTACGTGATCGGCATTAAGAGCGAAAACAACTGCTTGCGCTGCATTTGTCAGGACCACTGTTGTAACTATCATTCCTTCTCCCTTACAACGTTTACACGGGTTCGGCTATAACGGCATCGTCCGTATACACCTTTCTACGTGGTTGGTATTACAGCTTGAGGGTTCGGTG